GGGGCTGCCACAAAGAAGAGGGAGTCAAGCTATTTTCCAAAGCGCCTGAAGGCAGGACAAGAAGCAACGGGTGGAAGCTAACCAAAGAGAGAAGCAACCTAGAACTAAGGAGAAACTTCCTGACAGTTAGAACAATTAACCAGTGGAACAACCTGCCTCCAGAAGCGGTGAATGCGCCAACACTGGAAGTTTTTAAGAAAAAACTGGACAGCCATTTGTCCAAAATGGTATAGGGTTTCCTGCCTGAGCAGGGGGTTGGACTAGATGACCTACAAGGTCCCTTCCAACTTTATCATCATTATCATTATTAACATCAAGACTTAATGAAAACATTCTGGAAGAAGACAATGCAAACAATTTTATATTGTCCAGAAAATAATATTCACAAAGTCACAAGGAGCCTGAGTCAATTTATCTCCTGTTTACAACACAGTCCTTTCAGCAGTCCCAAGGTTCCACACCCATTTCACTCTGATTCAGGTGACTATGAGGATACAGATAAACCCTCAAGTGGCCTCAAGGAGTCTCAGAGTGCTAACAACCAGATGACTGCAAGGAATATAAATCCTTCCATTCCCCACCAGTCAGTTAGCACTGAAGAAGCTTCTTGGATGAGAAGTGAAATGTTTTCAAACAAAAAACCAACAAAGTCCAGTTGCCTTTTGGAAAAAGCACATCTGGGACTGTGACCTGGATAATTGAGAATCTCCATAGACATCTTCAGTTTCAGTTCACCAAACGTGTCTCTGTATTCACTCTTGTAAAGGAACAAGTATATCTGACAACAACCTGCTGGGTATGCTTCCACAGTGTGGTAGCCTTGTTGAAATGTGAAGAGATGCCTTCTCTGGAGAAGGCATTTTGTACAAGGAAAAGGATGGTGTGTGCCTTACCAATTTCTTCTTTGCCACCCGTTTTTGAGGGAGATCAACATTAGAACTCTATGTGAGCTTTTATATAGTATCTAGTTAGCCCTTCAAGTTGCTTCCTTACAATTAGGAAAAGCTGCTGGTTTAGCCAATGTTTTTTTTTAAAAAATAAATTTTTATTAATTTTTATAATTAAACAACAAAGATTATGATGCATTTACGTACATAAACAAAAAAGAAAAAATAATACATTTTCAGAGATGCTCGGCGGTCCCCGGCATGCCTCCACCCTCATCCACTTTCCTTTCCTTCCTCCCTCTAACCCCCAACCTCTCCACCTTCCTCCTTACCACCTATCTACATCCCCTCTCCTTTCTTACCACCTCCTCGAGTGCAATTTGGGATACCAGCCGAGCATCTCCTCTTATCAATACAATAAGTATTTATCTATAAAATGTAAATACATCAATTTTTATA